GCCAGACTGCGGGGGGAACACGGCGCCGCTCAGGGGGGCCCCGGAGGAGCCTCCGGGAGGCTCCGTGCTCAGGTCTCGGGCCTTTAGTGGACTCCAAGCTCCTGAAGAGCAGGCTCGGGGTCTTACTCATCCAGGCACATGGGACAGCGATGGCGAACCTATGACACGCATGTCAGAGGTGACACGCGAACTCACTTTTTTGGTTGACTTTTTTTTGTTCAGTGGCATTTAAATACATAAAATAAATATCAGAAATATAAATCTTTGTTTTACTATGGTCGCAAAGATCAAAACATTTCTCTATGTGACACGGCACCAGAGTTAAGTTAGGGTTTTCCAAAATGCTGACACGCCGAGCTCAAAAGGTTCGCCGTCACTGACACAGGAGATGCTCAAGGAGCCGGGAAGCATCGAGCCCCGTGTCTGCGTCTGTGGTGACCGTGTGTGACTCGGACCCATGTCTCCTGACACTCACTCCCCCGCGCTTTCCTCGAGGCCCTGAGGCCTGGGGGAGGCGGTGGGGGTGGATGTGTAGGTGACCGGATGGATCGCAAGCTCAAGGGTGTGTCAGAGCCACCTGGGGGGCCATGAAAACAGGCCCGGGGCCCACCCCAGAGCTTCCGATTCCGTGGATCTGGGCGGGACGATGGAAGGGAGCACCAAGGACGGCGAGCAACGCACAGGACCTGAAAACGGAAGATGCCCGCGTAGCTCTCCTGGAAGCTCTGGTCCCTGGGCACCACCCGGTGAAGCAGCTCTTCGTTCAAGGTGAGGGACGCGATGGCCGCCAGGAGCCAGCAGTCGCCTGCACCGGGTCATGGGGACACACTGGTCAGGCCAGGCCGGCAGGGTCCCGCTTTCTCTCCCTTCCACGTCCGACTCTCCCCCCACCCCCGCCCCCCCATGTCTCAAGGTCACGGGCAGCACCGTCAGCTCCTGCTGCCGCGTTGGGAGTCGCGGATAGAAACGTCTCTGGTCCTCCCGATCGATCGGCCCTGCGTGCTGACCATTGCACATCTCAGAGCACTCGGCCAGTGGGAAGCCATGGAAAGAACAAAAGCCAAAGTGTCTTTTGGGACTGAAAGGTCCCAGGCTTGATTCCTGGTCAGGGCACCTGCCTGGGTTGCGGGCTCGATCCCCACTAGGGGGCGTGCAGGAGGCAGCCGATCCATGATTCTCTCTCATCATTGATGTTTCTCTCTCTCCTATCCCTGCCTCTCTGAAATCAATAAAAATACATATATATATATTTTAAAATGTCTTGTTTGGCCCTAACCAGTCTGGCTCAGTGGATAGAGCCTCGGCCTGCGGACTGAAGGGTCTCAGGTTCGATTCCGGTCAAGGGAATGTACCTTGGTTGCGGGCACATCCCCAGTAGGAGGTGTGCAGGAGGCAGCTGATCGATGTTTCTCTCCCATCGATGTTTCTAACTCTCTATCCTTCTCCCTTCCTCTCTGTAAAAAATCAATAAAATATATATTTTTTTAAGAATAAAAATGTGTTGTTTGGTTCCTTATTAGCAACTCTGATAAGACATTCGGTTGGGGGAAACATCTGTTTGCCAGCCCACAGTGTGTGTGTGTGTGTGTGTGTGTGTGTGTGTGTGTGTGTGTGTTCCGTGCCCGCGTGATGTTAGATGACAGGAAGTTGGCTCTCTGTGTGTTTAGAGGACTGCCCTGTTGTGTTTGAGAGCCCAGCATGACAGCCTCGATGCCTCATTGCTTAAGACAGTCTTGAGATACTGACTCGCCTTCCATCATCCTCATCGAGGCAGAAGAAATAAAGCCGAGAGGTTAAAGAGTCTAGGGCAGAGGTTCTCAACCTTCCTCATGCCGCGACCCTTTCATACAGTCCCTCATGTTGTGGTGACCCCCAATTTCATTGTTACAAATTGAACATCATTAAAGCATAGTGATTCATCACAAAAACAATATGTAATTACATATGTGTTTTCCGATGGTCTTAGGCGACCCCTGTGAAAGGGTCGTTCGACCCCCAAAGGGGTCGCGACCCACAGGTTGAGAACCGCTGGTCTAGGGTTTAATAATGGTCAGCTCAGAGAGCCCAGCAAATGCAGAAGGAAACAGGAAACCCACTCCGGCCGGCGTGGCTCAGAGGTTGAGCCAAGACTATGAACCAGGCAATGACTTCAGGGAGTTTCCCAAACAGCGAGGGGGAACATGGAGACGCTACAGAGGAGGAGGAGGAGGAGGAGGAGGAGGAGGAGGAGGAGGAGGAGGAGGAGGAGGAAGGGGACGAGAGAGAAAACTCCAGGCACTGGAACCCCTTCAACTTCGACGTTGAGCAATGGCTGAAGCGGGAACAATCGTTTTCAAGCCCAAGAGGAAGGCCGAGCAGAGAGAACCTTCGTTCTGCTTCCCACGGGGACTCGGGGAGCAGAAGGTGAGAGAAGGTGGCGAAGAGCACCCCTCGTGTCCCCTCTGCCGTCGGAGGGTGTCCACCGAGGGCGGGGAAGGGAAGGCAGAGGCTGTGGTGACTGCGGGGTCAGGGATGGATGGAGGGCGTGCCGTGTCCCTGCACAGAGGTGGCCGGAGTCAGCCAGGAGGGCCACCGGGTCCTGACAGCACAGAACAGACCACACAGCACTGCCGTCACCTCTCCAGGAGCCCAGCCGAGACCCGGGGGGCAGCTCCAGGCACACGGGGCCCTTCCCCCACGGCCCAGAGGACAGAGGCCCTTCATTGTACCCAGGCGCTGTCCTGGGGGGGGGGCGGCCGAGGGGGCTGCAGAAGCAAGAAGCCACCCCTGATGCTGACAAAGCAGCATGTCTGACGAGCCACGTGGTCCTCAATCCCGCAAGCATCCCACCTCGAGCCGGCCCTGAACCCGCCACATGACCCCCCCCCCCCCCCCCCCGCCGTGGTGTTTGTAAATGAAGAATCAAACAAAATTTCCTGGAATGCCTCCCTCACGGGGTCGCTGCCGCTGGGATAGAGCAAGCTACCACCGTTCTAAAAGCAGGCCCCAAAACCCGGCGATCCTGGGATTGCGGGGCCCAGGGACTCTCAGGGCCCCCTCTAATAACACCCCCTGATCACTCTCTCCTCTCGCGTGGCTCTCCTCTCTCCGTGGCTTTTCCCACCACCTGGCACCTGGATTTGTTTATTGGTCATTTTCCCCGTTAGAACGGAGACTCCCTGGGATCCAGAGCTCCCGCCCCCACCCCACGGGTGTATCTTTTGGGGGCTGGAAGAGCACTTGGCGCAAAGAAGGGGCTCAGACCCATATCTGTAGGGTGACTGTGGGGACCGGATCGGGCCAGATGTTGCCGTTTTTAAAAGAGAAGCCAGGGATCTGGTTTCTGATTGTTTTAAATGGAAAACATTCCCAGTTCCGAGACATCGTCCCCGGGAGGGGACATTGGACCAGCCGAAAGGGATAACCCTGCAAGCCGCTGGCCTGGCTCGGCCCTCCCCCAGCCCACGCCAGCCCTGCTGGGCCCGGCCCCTCGGCCAGTGGCTCTGCAGTCGGCTGATTCGCCCTCCTGATCCTCGCTGAACTGCTGCTGGGCGTCCCTGGAGAAATGACGTGGGTTTTATTGGTCTGTTTTGTTTTTGTTGAAGAGCCCCAGCCACACTGCTGGTTGAAATCGCTTTCTCTGCGGTTGTCTGCCCCCCTGGGACCTGGCCAGGGTCCCCTCTCCCCGAGTTTTGCTGCCTTCCTGTCTCCTTTCGCATCGTTGTGCCTTGAGACACAGTAACGGGGTGTTTTCCCGGCCGAAAACGCCTCGCTTTCTGCCCACCACACCCCACCGGGCTCCCGGGCATCTTCACATCTGAGCTCACGTCGCCTGGTCTCTTAATATGTTTGAGGCTGGGAGGCCATCCTCATGTTGCCATGGAGACCCTCCATCATCCTTTGTTTCAGAGTGGATGCCCTCATTGGGAAGCCCCCGGGGTCCCCGGCTCGGATTGGGGGGTGCCGGGCCGTTTGGGAGGGGGCAGTGCCAACTGGGCCTGAGCGAGCGATGGATCTGAGAGCTCATCTTTCCATTTCTGTCTCCGTTAGCCCTGGCCCCCAGCATCTTGTCTTATTCTTGCATCCAAAGGGCCACAGGATTCAGCTCAGGCAGCACCCCCCTTCCTCACATGGGCTCCGAGATGTGCTCCCACCAGGCCCAGCGCACAGCCAGGGAGGGTGGCCAATCGTGTTGTGATAACTACGCACGGGGCCAGGCGGGTGCTCGACAGGTCAGGGGAATCTCTCCGTACGTCACATAAATGTCTAACCCAGCGGTTCTCAACCTGTGGGTCGCGGCCCCTTTGGCGGTCGAACGACCCTTTCACAGGGGCCGCCTAAGACCATCCTGCAGATCAGATATTTACATGACGATTCATGACAGTAGCAACATGACAGTTAAGAAGTAGCAACGAAAATAATGTTATGGTTGGGTCACCACATGAGGAACTGTATTTAAAGGGCCAGAAGGTTGAGAACCACTGGACTCTAACCAATAGGCTGTGCACCTGCAAAGAATATATTTTATTGATTTTTTACAGAGAGGAAGGGAGAGAGATAGAGAGTTAGAAACATCGATGAGAGAGAAACATCGATCAGCTGCCTCCTGCACATCACCCACTAGGGATGTGCCCGCAACCAAGGTACATGCCCTTGACCGGAATCGAACCTGGGACCTTTCGGTCCACGGGCCGACGCTCTATCCACTGAGCCAAACCGGTTTCAGCAAAGAATATAATGTTGAATGGCGATTGTCATTGGAAAATGTTTAATCAATAAATTAATTGCTTTCAAAAGAGGTTCCAATGATACTGATTTTTAAACAACAACAAAAACACTGCCTCATCGGCTGGGCTACCCCAGGGCGGCCCCCTGGCGAGGCCCCAGGGACTTGGGTGGGAGCTGGGTGCTGAGAGTCAGTTTGGGTGGTTTCCTGTGCTCCATCCCCCGGCTCCAACCCACTCCATCCCTCAGCAGCGCACACTCACCATGGTAACGCTCAGGCCTCCTTCCGGAAACCTCTTTCCTCCTCTATTCCTCCTCGCTTGCTTATAACGATTCAAGGGGAAGAGCTATCCAGGCCCATCAATTAAACGAGGCTTATTAAATGCCTGGTACTAAGTTAAACATCACTAACAAGGACCTGCTAAAAGCCTCCGTGGGAAGTCGCGCTTCCCTGAGCCACGTGGGAAATTAGGTGGCACCTGACGCATTCTCCCTGCTTAATGCTCGCCCCCAGGAGCTCTGGCTCAGGGGATATCTGTGGTGCTCATTAAAGGAGAGAGCATTGGAGGCGTTTAAAATTAGGTGCCCGTGACCTTCAAAATCACAAAGGTTTCCAGCGGATTGGAAACATTTTCCTGGCTAGAACCAGAAGGGGAAAGAGGGGGGTGAACCCCCCCAAAAGATGAAGGCTATCGGGTCCAGGTGGATGCTGAGATGTGGGTTGTTTTACTGCTTTTCACCAAGTGGGATTTGTCTCCTCGTGGCTCTCCTTTCCTGCCCCGTGTTCTGCGGCTGCCAGGGGATGGCGGTTTAGAATCCCAGTGAATCTAAGTCAGAGCCACGCTGTCCCCGGAAAGGCCAGTGTTGTCCCACTCGACCATGAGGCCCTGGGATCGGGAGTGCTTAGCAGGTCAAGAGCACCAATCTACTACTTGTGGGTCTGACACGTGAGGCCAGAACTTACAAAACAAAGCAAATGATTTCCCAAAGCTTAACTGCACCCGATTGGAGGGAATATGAAGGGCTGGGAGGGGAACATCTTAGTCCTAGGATCCCAGGCCCGTGAGAGGAAGCTTGGCTAGAAAGAGAGGATCCCTGTTTTCTTACCAATTACAAAAGCATCTCTTACGACCGTCCCTAATTGTACAGACGTGGCCATTTTATAGGGCAAATTAGGTCCACTTACAGGTAACTACAGGTGGTCAGGACTAACAGCTGAATCTGACGTCACCCGTGCCACATGCACACCCGCCCTGCGCCGAACAAACAGGGCGGCCCGCCTACTCACCCAGACCACCTTGACAGATGTCCACGCGGGTGGCGCCACCGGCGATGAACTGGGGGCTGGGGCACAATTCCTGAAAGCAGTTGGGGACAAAACACAAGTCATAAGATGCCCAGTGATGGTGGCCATGAGGGTAAAGATGGCTTTGGGGTCCTGAACTCAGGCTTCACAGCAACCTAGGAGATCATCTCTCGTCCCCTCCTCACCTGTCTACGGCGTCCTCGTCTCCTTCAAGGGTTCCTCCGCTCCACTCCCCCCTAAGAAGCAGGGGACCCCCGACCAGGCCTCAGCCCTCTGCAGGGACCCCGTTTCCCGCGGCAATAGCCTGCCCTAAGCATCCTCTCTCGGCGACAGCGACCAACCCCGTGGCTTCGACTCCTGTCTGTGGAACACGCGGACGCGTCCCAAGTCGCTTGCCTGAGCCGGCCACCCGTTACCCATGTCACACTGTCCGTGCGATATCAGCTCATTCGACGCATGGCCGATAAGTCTCCCGGATTCTGCTGAAATGTTGAGTTCGGTTTAAGAGGCAGAGTGGTTTGCAAAGGCCAGAAACAAGTTGAAGTGTGCTGAGCAGGACGGTGCTAAGCGGGGTGTATGTAGAAGGAATGTTCATTTTATGACATGTTCTTAGCAGGTTTCAAAATGCACCTCCCCTCCCCCCCGACCCAGGAAAAAAACAACCCAGGGACGTCATGACTAATATGTTATGAATCTCTTGGGGGCCACAGGGCATCCCTGGTTTTGTAAGGGGTTGGCATCTCAGCCTAGGCCGGAAGAACATTCCGGAAGTCTTCTCTCCAGGGCTAACTTTCTACTGGAACTCGGATCGGAGACACAAAGTAGTTTGGCCACCAAAGAGGCTGAAAAGAGGCCAGGAGGCCACACACACACACACACACACACACACACACGGGACACTGTTTTGTTTTTTTTCTTCCTGAATAACAACCACATCTTGTCATTAGCAATGTTGACTATTACTCAGGTGAGGACCTCAGCACACTCCATAAACACACATGACTCAGGCCTGCTTGCTTCGGCCCCTGATGAATGGGTTCGAGGGAAACACGGGCACCGGTAAGGGGTCCGAGGCAGGAAGGCACTGCAATCGCATCTTCTCGCGGACAAAGGCAACTGGCAAGCATTGCTCCCAGGGCGTTAGACCGTCACTGGTCGCTGTCAGGACCCTCTGCTTCCTCCAACCCCAGCGCCAAAGTCTCTCTGCAGTAATGAACCTGCCCTACCGCCTTCCCCACAGTGCAGAGCGGATGCCTGACACAGAGGCCTAGCCCTGGCCGGTGTGGCTCAGTGGGTTGGGTGACATCCTGAGCACCGAAGGGTTGCTGGTTCGATTCCCCGTTGGGGGCAGCTAATGGATATCACACTCTCACGTCGATGTTTCTCTCTTTCTCTCCCTCTCCTTTCCACTCTCTCTAAAAATCAGTAAACTATTCTTTAAAGAAAAAAACAACAACAGAGGCCTAAAAATACTGTCTGTTGAAATGAAATGTAGCTGTCAATTCTTGAGACAAGAATATAAAACCATCGCATAGAGGGGATAAATGGTGATGGGGAAAAAAAATGAAAGAAAGAAACCCCCAGTTAAAACAAATAAAGAAAGAATATAAAACCATGATTCCCAACCTTGATTTTGCCAGCATCCCAGAGGAATGCCATATGTTTCAAGAGGGGTGGGCAGACGGACCTGGGTGGGCAGGACAGAGGCAGGCAAAGGAGTTATCCTCAGAGGTAGAAACTGTTGGGCAAAACTGGTTGAATGAAAATAAAGGGGTAGGGATAGGATTTGGCCATCTATCTATAATAATAAAAGCGTAATATGCTAATTAGATCGAACAGCCGAACAACCTTCCGGACGTCCTTCCGGACGACCTTCTGGATGAAGCCGAGGCTGTGAGGGCCGAGCCCCTTGCCCGAATTTCGTGCATCGGGCCTCTAGTATCCAAAAAATTATCTTCTTATCCTCCCTTGTCATCCAGGGCCAAGAAAACAGGTACCACGACTTGGTTTTCCCATCATGCTCTAGAAGACAAAGGCTCCCTGGCCAACAGCCACGGAACATGTGCTCTTACGAGACTACTTACGTGGCAGACGCTGAACAGACTCTCTCAGTTCTCACAGCCACCCTGCAGAGGGGGCTCCGACCCCTGAGGGCAAATCACGGGACAAGGGTCCCGTCGGGGTAGGTCACAGACATGGATTTTGGGGGGATGGTTCTCCATTCTCTGCCTCTGAGTTTGGGGTGATACCGGTGACAGCATTCAGGAGGCCCTGAGTTCCAGCTGCGTTCACAGCCCCACAGCCTCCACCTCTCCACTCACCAGCCCTGATGGAACAGTGACCCAGCTCGTGACCTTGAGCAATGGCTGCACCTTTCAGCCACCCTGTCACCACTTACCCCTGACCGATGGTGACACCTAGCATTGGCCTGTTCCCCCGTGCCCTGGCCCAGGGGCCCAGGCGGTCATGACCACGTGGCCTGTGCCTGTGGTGGGCCAGGCACGATGGTCGGAGCTTCATCTCTGGCCCTCATACCAACCCTGGAAAAATCAGGTGCCAGTGGCACCATTCCACAGATGGGAAGACTGAGGCTCACGGAGGTTATGGGTCCAAGACCACACAGGCGGAGCCGGGATTCAAATCTAACTCGTCTGATCCCAACGCCTCTGCATGCTCTTCCCTCTAACCTCACTGCCTCTGGAAAAAGATTGTTAAAGGGAAAGGGGTTCTGAAATGTGGGATTTAGGAATTGAGGATCCAGAGCCACCTTCTCCCTCAACTATTTCCGACCTGAAGCCAGAGCCCCCCATCCTGCCTGACACCTTACAGCAAGCCCGTCTCCTTACCGGGGGCCGCTTCCAGACGACGCCTTGAGTTTGGGGGGAACGTGGTCCCAGATCCTTGTGGCCCAAGGCTGACGGACCTGCTGGGAACTCAGGGTCCTTAAACAGCACCCCTGAATCCAAGCACTGCTGCCTGAGCGTCTCGAAGTCCTGGCCCAAGTACTTCACAACTTTCTGGTGGGAGCCAGGACGGTCGGCTGCCGCCCGCTGCCTGGACACCTGGGCCGCCGGAGCTGCCATGGCCTCGGGTGGGCTCCGGGGGTGGGCTGCGTGGGGAGGACAGGAGGGCAGGGCTGCTCCGTGCTCTCCCCGCTGGGAGGGGAGCTATAAGGCCGCGTGGAGGGAGGTGGGGCTGGTAAACATTTCACCCGAGGCGCTTGCTCCGGAGGGAATGAGTCATGGCCAGAAGCAAACAGGTACCCAGGGTGCCCAGGAACATGCCCGCCGTCCCTGCCTGCCTTTGCCCCCTCATCTGGACGCTGGGGAACTCCCAGGGCCCCTCCCGGGCCACTAACCTGGGAGATTCATTAGGATCCCAGCTGCCCCCCCTCTTGGCAGGACCTGCGTGCCCCCCCCGCCACCCCACCCCCATGGGCTGAGTAAGAAGCTGTCTGGTAGCTGGAGGCTGGGACTCACCAAGACTTTGGAGCCGTGGCTCTGAGAAGGAGGGGGGCCAGGGGTTCAGGGGGTCCCCTTTCTTTCCAGAAAAGTGTGGTTCCGTATGTGCTCGGCGGATACAAATATCAGAAAGGGGTGATTCACGGAGCAGATCAGAGGAAGCCCAATGAGACATGGTGCCCACGCTGCGGGAGGTGTTGGCCTCTGGCGGCCTGGGTGGCTCGCCCAGCTCCATCCCCTTCGGCGAGTGACTCAGCCCCCTTCCCCCTTCATTTTCTCATCTGCAAAATGACAGGTAATAGCAGGGCCTGCCTCACCAGGTTGTTAGGAGGAGGGATGAGACAGGACGCGTCCTGGGCTTAGATTAGTGGGTGAGGAGCGCTCAGGACACGTCAGCTGTCATATCCCCAGGGACCAGGACCAGACAGAGGCGGCCTGGGAGCCTCATATTACTCCCTTTTCTCGGGGCTCCCATCTCCTAGGCCTGGGCTGCCCTAAGGGCATGGGCCACATTGGTGATTTCTGAACCTCAGTGTGTGGCAAGTTGGAAAATGGTCCCCCGGCCCTAGCCGGTGTGGCTCAGTGGATAGAGCGTCTGTCTGCGGACTGAAGGGTCCCGGGTTCAATTCCAGTCAAGGGCACATGCCCCGGTTGCAGGCTCGATGCCCAGTGTGGGGCGTGCAGGAGGCAGCCAATCAGTGATGCTCTCTCATCATTGATGTTTCTCTCTCTCTCTCTCCCTCTCCCTTCTTCTCTGAAATCAATAAAATATATTATAAAAAAGGAAGGAAGAAAATGTTCCCCAGAGCAATGAGTCCTAAGCTCTGGAAGCTGTAAGGAACGCTCTGTTTGGAAAAGGGATCTTCGCAGATGTGTTAAGTTAAGGGCCTTGAAATGGGGGGATGGTGGTGGCCCTAAATGCATCGTAAATGCCCTCCTAAGACAGAGGCACGAGGAGATTTGAGGACAGACCAAAAGGCGAAAGCGATGGGTCCACAGAAGCCGAGACTGGAGTGATGTGGCCACAGGCCAAGGAAAGTCAAGGTCACTGTGACCTTCAGAGGCTCAAGGACGCATCTGAAGGACGTGGTTGTGGCCCTGGCCCCTCTGGGGACCCCACCTCAGCACCACTCTCCCGTGATTCAGCGTCAGCCCCCAAGGCTTCAATGTCCCCTGAGCAAGGAAGACAGATCGCCCAAAGGCCTGAGTGTGCATCGCGGGCCATTCGTTCACAGGCTGGTAGCCGCGCATGGCTAGAGCCACGGGAAAGGGTGCGGGAAAGTCGGCCGCAGCCTTCTCACGCCCGGGTCTTCCCATTCCGGAATTCTAAGGCGAGCGGGAGAAGAAGCCAAGGTCAAGAGTACGACAGAGTTCTCATACATGGCTGGTGGGGAGGGAAAACATTCTGCAGCTCCTCCAAATGGAACCGCAATGAACATTCCACTCCACGGACTGAAAGAAGGGAAACAAGGCCACACAAAGACCCGTCCTCGAAGCCGCGTGACTATTCGTAATAGCCAGAACGTGGAAACAACCCAAGCGGCCATCGGCGGACGAACGGATGAACAGATGCGGTGTGGCCATAGAGTGGAATAGTATGCAGCCATGAAAAGGAATGGAGTCCTGAAACGCGCTACCACCCGACGAACCCTAAAAACATTATGCCAAGGGAAGGACGCCATGGCAGAAGGCCTCACAGTGTCTGCTCCCAGTTGTAGGAAATATCCGGAATAGGCAAATCCATAGAAACACACCAAAAAAAGGAAAGCTAAACACGAAGATCGGAATAGGGGTCCTGTCCATCTTGAAGAGGGATCGATGGGGTGGGAGAGGAGCACAGGGCTGCTGGGAACCAGGACCGGGCCAGACGGAGCCCTGCCCCTCCCTGCGGCCATGCCCGGATGTCGCCTCTCAGATCAGGTGAGATTCTAGCTAGCTGACGGCAGGGGTTGGTCTGGTCGGTGGTAAGGAGGCTGTAATGGTATCAAAGCCGGGATGTTCCAGCTCCAGCAGCTGGTGGTCTCTGCTGCCCCCTAGAGCCCTGTGTGGTCCCAGCAGGCCTGGTGGACTCCTTAAAGCCAAGGGCTTGGTGTAACTTTGTCTCTGTACCCACACTCTTATCCTGTTTTGTTCCTCAGAGGGTGGTTTTTCTGAAAACACCTAGAAAGAATATCTTAATCACATTTTTCATGACTAGGGCGTTCTGAAAATTGAGCAAGGGGGAGAATCATGCATGCATCCCGCCTTTCCTATCTGGGCTATTTCGGGGTCACTGGTTGGTAGGTCAATGTTTTTCTTTATAGGAGAACTAGAGGCCCGATGCACGAAATTCGTGCAAAAGTAGGCCTTCCTTCCCCCAGCTGCCGGCACCGGCTTCCCTCTGGCACCCGAGACCCGGGCTTCCCTCTGGCACCTGGGACTCAGGCTCCCTCCGGCCGCCAGCAGGCATCCGGGACCTGGGCTTCCCTCGCAGCCCTGGCTTCATCCAGAAGGTCGTCTGGAAGGTCGTCCAGAAGGACATCCGGTCTAATTAGCATATTACACTTTTATTATTATAGATTGCAGCTATAGGAAAGCAAGCGATAGAATTAGAAGTCACCGTTATCAGCCCTTAATGGTAAAACTATTAGATAAAAGGCTAATGAGGAACTTGATAATGAATCTATCTGAGCTCACTTATTAACCTGTGCATCACCAATAAATGGGGCACTAGTGCCTTCTTACCTGATACAATAGGATGTACAACACAGGTCCACCTGGGAAGACTTCTGTCCTCTCTCCGAAGCTGAACTTGAACCGACTCAAGCGTCCAGATCCAACTGCATTGTCTAGAGAAAAATAAAAGGTTAGGCAGGGTTTTCCAAGGTCTGTACTATTGACACGTGGGACCAGAGAGTGCTTTGTTGGGGGAGTGGGGAGGCTGTTCTGTGCATTATAGGATGCCTAGCAGCACCCTGGCTGCCCCTCACTAGTGTCAGTAGCACCCCTGCTGTCATGGCAACCAACAAGGTCCAACATTGCCAAGTGCCCCCTGAGAGGCAAGAGCGCCCCCAGTTAAATGCCACTGGGTTAGCTCTAACCGGTTTGGCTCAGTGGCTAGAGCGTCGGCCTGCAGACTGAAAGGTCCCAGGTTCGATTCCGGTCAAGGGCATGTACCTTGATTGCGGGCACATCCCCAGTAGGGGGTGTGCAGGAGGCAGCTGATCGGTGTTTCTCTCTCATCGATGTTTCTAACTCTCTATCCCTCTCCCTTCCTCTCTATAAAAAATCAATAAAATATATTTTAAAAAATAAATAAATGCCACTGGGTTCGAGACACGTGTTCAATGACACCATGAGGATGCAGTCGGCCAGCAGGGCAGCCCACATCCAAGGACTGCGAGGGCAAGAGAATAAAGACTGTGACCCAACTTAGCATCTCCTCCGGGCCCTGGATGGTCCAGAACACCCGTGGGGTTGGCCAAAATGCAGTCACAACTGCATCGCATTTTGGCTTCCCCCTCTGACAAAGACCACCTCTTCCCACCTCCACTCGCAGATGCTGGTCCCTGATGCAGACTCTGCATGTCCCCCTCCTTCTCAGCTCCTACTTCCGGGGAACCCAGCCCCCAACAGTTGCTCAGTTTAATGCTCTCCTGTCACCATCGTGAAAGTGTACAAGGGCCTCGTATATGGATCTGCAGAAACCTGAGCCGGAAAACTCTTATAATCACTCGTAATATCAAATGAATTAATAAATAGTATTCATTGTATTATATAAAAGTATGACACCAAAAACTATATTGTTGCAGATCGAAAGTTTACGTTGTTTCTCATGTATCACCATTATACTTATTACAGTTTAAAAGAAAAAATATTTTTTAAATATATTTTTATTGATTTCAGAGAAGAAGGGAGAGGGAGAGAGAGGTAGAAACATCAATGATGAGAGAGAATCATGGAGCAGCTGCCTCCTACTCGCCCCCCTCTGGGGATCAAGCCCACAACCCAGGCATGTGCCCTTGACTGGAATCGAACCCAGGACCCTTCAGTCTGCAGGTCGACACTCTATCTACTGAGCCACACCGTCCAGGTCAAGAAAAAAAATATTTTTAAAGGAAAAAAGTTTTAGATTTTAATGGCACTTTTCTCCCTGAGTTTTGATGAATGTGGGAACATTCATTTTCATTTTTCATTGAACCCTGAACGCCTGCAGCTGGCCCTGAGGGTGGGACCATGGACCACTACCTTGGCTCTCCCATAGGCGGACTACTTTAAGCTCTTACCAGCTATTTACACCTTCATGTGAATGAACCTCAGATACTTCGATGAAAGACGGTTTTAAAATGTATAAGGTGCTAGGGACACCGCATCCATGGAAGACAGAGAGAAGACCATTAAGACGGGAAAGCGGGATGTGTGGGGGACAGGGGCCTGAAGATGAACCCCAAGTTTTGCTCCGAGTTAGGCTTTGTTAGAATCTTGTTCCTGACACTGCGCGAACAGTATACACAGCCCAGCTATTGAAAACTAAAAATTAGCCAAAACCGGTTTGGCTCAGTCGATAGAGCGTCAGCCTGCAGACTGAAGGGTCCTGGGTTCGATTCCGGTCAAGGGCATGTACCTTGGTTGCGGGCACATCC